CGGGTTCGAATCCCGTTGAAGCCCTGATTTTTTTCAGGCTTCTTCTTTCCAGTTGCTTAAATTGGAAAATTAACTGCGACGATCATTCTTCACTTTCAAATTAAAACATTGCTAGCCTTATTAAAGGTGCTCAGAAGAGTTTCCAGCTGTTTGCAAGACTTAGATTTTGATGGGTTATTATAACCACACTTTATCTCTTGATGCTACGATCATGGTATCAAGAAAATGCCCATGGTGAACACGTTGTTATCATTTTTGTGACACAATAGGTTATATATATCATATGAGCTAAGAACTAAAGTGGAAATAAAATAAAATTTACGTGACACGGCTTCTGGTTTGATCCTGTTGGACAAACAAAATTCTGACAAGGAGGATTCGTATTTGCATCTTTTGATTTTTGCTGGGATTCAAGCGGAGGTTGAAGCCTAATTTCGATCTCCTAGCGAGCGACGAGCACGGATTCCCACTTATAACCGGTTATTCTGTGTCGAAATCGACGTGGAATTGTTCAGCTGCCAAGCAAGTACATGTAGAGCACTATGTGATTATCTTGGGAAACTAGTGCCCAGTTTGATGACTTTTTTGTGGTTACTTTTTTATTTCTTGTGATAAAAATAATTAACAGCTATTGGATGAGTTTGAACGTAATATGACTTTTCAGTGGCGAGCAGGTAAATCATTCGGCTAAGGCAAATAATTGAACAGCGAAACAGTGAGAAATCACGATATTTTTCGATAACCGAGTTCAGTAATTGTTTCGTTTTTCGATCACCAAGTTTGTTTTCATATTTAAATCACTCTCTGACATCTCAGGGAAGCTATCTGCAATTTTTCACACTACAGCGTAGTTACACTTATGCATGAGCAGGCCATTATTTGTAGGCAATTTTTTGCAGTTCGGGAGTTAAGCCTTGGTCAAATGGCGCATGATAGTCGATGAGAGTTGATGATAGTCGGTGAAAATTCGGGGAGAATCATTCAACTATCATCGACTATCATGCACCGTTTGGCCAGGCTCTTAGGCTAGCGGCCAATGTAATGAAAAGGAAGAAAAATGCATCGAATGATAAACGTTGTCGTTGTTGCTGTCGCGAGAAAAAGACAGAACACAGACAAATAAATAATAAAGTCTCTGTAAACTAGCATAACACAAAAACGTTTAATAATTTTCGCTTTACTCTCAACGTATTTTTTTGTGAATCACGACTCCACCGTTCTAGATTTGTTTACTAAGATTGAGTTCATTCAAGTGCAGCTTAATTGTTGTGCCGAAAGTTTTTCGAACAACGGCGACGATCTTGGCTTGGCTTCGGACGAAGTCCCTCCGGGCTACCAAGAACAAAAGGCTATTCATTTTTGCTCAAAGTGAGATGTTGAGCCGGAACAATAGACCATTTCTTGATACGCTCTCTTTATATTTCGTCCATAAAAGGGCTAGGTTTCGATGTTAAAGTCATTTGAACTGAAAATAAACAAAGTTGAATATTATCAAGATGCCCAGCCCGTGAGGTTAAGTCGTTGTAACTCACCTCTGATCTCGTGACCACAATCCGAGTGACGGCCTTGCTGTCTGACGAGAGACCGCTGAACGCTTTCTCCAACGCCTCAGCAAAGAACAAAGGAGGATTGCGAGTGCATCGAACTAAGATGACCAAGAAGAATGAAATTAATGTTACTAACGATCAAACAACAAGTTAGTTTAGTTAATAAAGTGTAGGATAAGACGACCAGGAAAGCCTTCTACAGAATGATCATCCTGAAAGAACAGAGGAACACGTTTTCGTTCAAGGGTGTTGGAACATAGATTTTTTCTTTAATAGTAGATTTGATAAGTATAAACTACCATACCTATTGCTTCAATGGTGTCATGGAAATCTCCAGTGAGTTCATCATTCACAGAGTCCATGATATCAATTTTGGCAACCTAGGAGGTTCATAAAAGGAATGCAATTAACTAAGCTTAATTGCTTTTTCTAACATAATTGAAAAGCAGTGGGAGGCCCACAGGAGAAAGAGATTTCTTATTTAATGTAGACAACCTGAGGAAGCGCGGGATATATAATGTAAATATGCAAGTAAACTTTAAAAATGTCTGAACTACTAGCTAGCTAGTCTCCCCCGCTCCGCTGCTAAAGCATCAAAAACTGTCTTTTAAAGAAGGAAATTCCAAATTTGGAATATTATAACTGTGCCGAAATATAATGTTGCCAAAATGCTTGCTATGGCAATATCAATTTTTTTTAACCAATATGCTATGTCATGTGGCATATGCCTCGACAAATTGTGCTCAGATTAATTTCAGACCAAGTTGGAGAGAGACTGTAGTCAAAATTTTGCTGGCATTTGCTTCTTAACCCAAGAAGCAATAAACGTTTAAAATCCGTGCTGGCAGATTCCACAGCTCTACATCTATCTGTCTAGCCAAGTTATCGGATTCAATGAAATAAGAACTTTCTCACTCACATGCTTGTACGCTTCAAATGTTGCTTGAAGTTGTGTGGTACTTCTTGTCGTGAGAATCTTAACAAACACCGATTCGTCAGTTCCCCATTTATCTTCACCAGCCTACAGAGAAAGAGAGGGTTTTTTTTAACACGGGCCAGTGCGTATACAGCTTACTATATCCTAATCCAAAGAACATCACAATAATTATACCTAATCAGTCTTGTCGAACCCAATTTCGCAATTAGCCAATCGGAAGCCGTATCTACTTTCCTGATATCCTGCGATATCAAGTTACTGACGAGAATGACCTGATATGGCTATGATATAATGGTCACCTGGTCAATTTCGGTTCCGCGGTAAATACTAATCATATTTCGGCGGCATATCAGGCAAAGAAGTAAAAGAAATTCGAACTAACCTCAAGAAGTTTGGTGGCATCCTCATAAGCAAGATTCTCGTCAACCTTTTCTGAGGAACTTCTCTCACCCTGTGCAATACAGAATAGTGTACTGTTAGGATGCACATTTTTAACAAACACTGTAAAATACGTTTGATCTTTTGTTTGTTCTGGTTGGCTTATTTTCGGAAGACTTTTACGTTTTAGAAATAGCTCGGTTTATTTTTGGAAGAAAAATAGCATATCTGAATAATTTTAGATACACATAAGGAGAAACTGCGTGTTAAGATGACTTTACAAGACAAGTTACATGATCATCAGACGAATATTAATCTCTCTATAATACTGTCATTACATAAAAAAGAAAACAACTCCCACTCTCTGTGGTGGCCTTTATAATAGATTGGCATTTTCTCTTTAACATAAGCCAATGGACACTTAAATGTACGAAAGGTTTCGTTTGCATCCAAGTTTTGGGGGCTTATTTTGAAGAGGCCTTATTATCGTCTTGTCCGGCATATGCGATAGAGAAATCTGGAAGAAGTGAAATGCAATTCAAGAGAGGATATCTATTTGTGAAAAAAGTTTGAGATAATACAGCTGAAAACGATATGCAAAGATGGGAACACATGTTGGACCCATGTTGACGGCTTTGCGTTTTCACCCACCATTAGCACCTTATAATGCTAGTAAGGAGTAAGTAAATGAGAAATGTAACCATGCCAACTGCTAGTTAAGCATGAGTAGAAGAGTAAACACATCTTGTTTCGCCAGTCATAGAATTGTTGGTGTCTCATACCTCGGCCAATTTTATTAAGGTTGTTTGAAGGTCTCCACTTGTCTCGCTTTTTATTTCTTCGACAAGTTCTTTTCCATGAACTGAAACAAAAGAAGTATTGAAAAACAAGGGCTAAATATTTTTATTCAAAAGTGCAGTTACATGATCAATCAATCAATCANTATCTCTTGATCCTCTTGGGGTTTCTGAAACTAAGAGTGGTCTAAAAAAAACCCTTGAGATGGATCACCTTTGGAATAAGGCCAATTTGAGAGATTAAACTCCTAACCCTTCATCCTCCTCTGGCATTCATCAGTCTGTGCCAAAATAGAAAGACGCGGTAACGTAGGCGACATGTTTAACCTCCCCTTTCACAGAATATTGAGCCAGTCATAAATCGTTTTCAGGTTTTACCCACATAATGAGTGGTTTTGGTGTTCACTATACGAAGATGGCGCAACAAACCTGGTCATGTGTTCACAAGACTTTACATGTATCTTTCGTTTTTCGCTTTCGACTTCTACAACATAAAAGCTTAAGAAAACTAAAAATACGGAATACTCACCTCGGAGCTTCGAGAACATAAAATCTCAATGAGCACTGCCTCATCTGTTCCAAGACCCTGATAATTTAGAACAAGTGCAAGAATTTGTTCAATACAGACGAAACGTTTCATATTTCAAGCTTTAACCGTGAAATAAAGATAGGATGAATTCTCAGTTGTCAGGTAATTCAAGCGACTTTTCTGTATCTGTCGAACTTTCAGCTCTTTTCTAAGCTATTAGTAAATTGTGCAATCCTCAGATCTTTGCTGTAAATTTAACAATGCGTGAGTTTTCGGGAGACAGTTCAAATTTTGTTTAATTTACAGCGATCGGTTAAACCTCACGTAGACGCTCTGTAGATAACAAACTCACCGACATAGCCTCATGAAGTGAATTAGCGTCGAATAATTCTGGCGAGGACATTAAAGCTACTATGGCGTCTTCAAACTTTCCACCCAGCTCTGACTTTAACTCATCTGCAAGGTTCTAAGAGGAAGTTACAAATACACAACGGGTGAGGAAATGCTCAGTGACATCCAAGACATAACAAAGACTCGATAAGGACGTCAGAGCCCGCCGATATATTATAATACAATTAGTATAAATCTAATCCCCTTGCGTTCTATCACGAATGCCGTCTTCTGATTGGNGAAGATAGCGCAACAAACCTGTTCATGTGTTCACAAGACTTTATCTTTCATTTTTTGCTCTCGGCTTCTACAACATAAAAGCTTAAGAAAACTAAAAATACGGAATACTCACCTCGGAGCGTCGAGAACATAAAATCTCAATAAGCACTGCCTCATCTGTTCCAAGATCCTGATAATTTAGAACAAGTGCAACATAAATACAGACGAAACGTTTCATATTTTAAGCTTTAAATGTGAAATAAAGATAAGATGAATTCTCAGTTGTCAGGTAATTTAGGCGATTTTTCTGTATCTGTCGAACTTCTAGCTCTTTTCTAAGCTATTAGTAAATTGTGCAATCCTCAGGTCTTAGCTGTAAATTTAACAATGCGTGATTTCTCGGGAGACAGTTCAAATTCTGTTTAATTTTCAGCGATCGGTTAAACCTCACCTAGACGCTCTGTAGATAACAAACTCACCGACATAGCCTCATGAAGTGAATTAGCGTCGAATAATTCTGGCGAGGACATCAAAGCTATTATGGCGTCTTCAAACTTTCCACCCAGCTCTGACTTTAACTCATCTACAAGGTTCTAAAAGGAAGTTTCAAATACACAACGGTGAGGAAATGCTCAATGACATCCAAGACATATAACAAAGACTCAATAAGGACGTCAGAGCCCGCCGATATATTATAATATAATTAGTATAAATGTAATCCCCTTGCGCTCTATCACGAATACCGTCTTCTGATTGGCTACGCTACTCACTATCTACTCTGTGCAGTTATAGATAGTGAGTAGCGTAGCAGTGTTCCCTTGTTAACAAAATGCCGGCCACTTCTTTGCGTTTTCGAAGTGTCTGTGAAGAGGATTTTGGTAACGTTTGAACGACTAGTAGATTTATACTAAAACAGTTGGATTATGAGTTCTCGATTTCTATGCGTGATAGCTGACTCGGGCTGCATCTTCGTCAACTACAAGGAGAATTATCTAAATGTGAGATTAAATATATACAAGCACTTCTCTTTGTCCCCGTAGATTATAGAGTACAATTAGGTATACATAACATGTTAGAAAAAATCGATTAGTTAACATCAAAATTGACAATAGAGATGAGATCTTTTATTCTCCTGCTTCGTATCTTAGACTAAGTATTAAAATTTTAGGCGGAGAAAATAGCAGTTGATCACTAAGCTGCAGCGTACCTTGTCATACTCCTGTTGAAACTTGGCAGCAATTTCTTGTCGCTGTTTATTGGTGCGCGCTCCGAGCACCGCAATGATGGCTTCCTCGTCACTGCCTGTAAGGGGATAGGTTGTGGTGTTGATACAGATTCATCAAAATATAAATTTACACAATACCAACTGAGGAACCCGCAAGGAAGAGATTACAAGGACACTAAAACTTTTGGTTCATGTGCACGATGATGTCAATATGTTAATGTTATACGAGGTGACTGCCACTCTCTCTGATTGAGGAGGATTTTACAGTGGAGCCAAAAAAATGTGATCAGTATCTATTTGTATCCTGCCACCGAAACAATATGGGACGGTGTCTCAACAAAATCCTTAATTTTATTTTAGTCTTTTTAAGTTTGAACTTGACTTCCTTACCAAAGCCCTTCATAGCTTTCTTTAAAGTCTCTGCGTCATCTGCAGCATTAAAGTTATCCGCTGGCTTCAAAGTACCGTGATTCTCGGTCTAGGTATGAAAACATTAGAGCTATTCAAACCTCATAGAATATTCATGATCCCTCGCGATGACGTTAGTAGCATTGTATAAACAACTTAATGATATGGAGCTGTGTCAGTTAAGCTAACAAGTCACCGGCAATACAACTCGCCCCACCCTCCCTCCCTTTTTTTGTTTCTCTAGCACTTCGTTTGCTCGACAGCGAGGACTTTCCAATACCTTAATGCTAATAAGGCAGCAAGAGAGATAATGGACAAACTTGAGTATAGATATTATGCATGCTCCTTTGTGGACTACAATGAACTTGCGTCTACTTTTAGAAAGCAAAACAGCAGCCAAAGTCACGTCTGTGTTCCTTTTGACGTGTGATGATTACTATTGAAACCGATATTTGAATGTTTGTCGCGTATAAGCAAGTTTTGGTTTATACTCATAATTAAGCCTCGTCCTCCGCAGAATTTAACCGACAGTAATGAAAACTGAAACTAGTCAATTCCCAGTAACCTATCAAAAGCTGAACGCTTTGCTGCCCAGGATCTTTTGTCTTATGGTTCGAGCAGACCTTTGCTTTCACAAGTAAGGTAAAAAGAAGGTTAAAAACTTAGAAAACCAAGTCTGCATACGAGACAAGTGGCCCATCTGGCAGGCGCTTATCTCCAGTTTCTGCAGCATGAAGCGAGTAGGAGTATTTCTACTCCCCCCCTGGTTGGAATGCCAGTCCATCGCAGGGTTACCCCTGAGTGATGCAAAACCAAACCAAATACGCATCACTTTGAACACTGCAGTGAAAACCTCTCTAAAATGCACACTTTAGGTTACGTAAAGTTACCAACCTTTTCAACGGTTAATTGTAGTCTTTCCTCCTTTTTCTTTTCTTCCTGGTTACCAGATCCTTCATCATTTCCTCTTGGCTTTTCACTAGCCTCCGCATTTTGATCTGAAGTCGTCACTTCCGGCTTGCTGTTTTGAGGCTTAATCTCTTCCGGTTTGCTTTCAGCAGGTTTCTCGCTATTTGGTTTTTCTTCCTGTGAAAACGATTTCCTCTATAAATAAACATCTAAATAATATTTAAACTTCTCACATTCCTTTCGTTCTCGCATTCCTTGCATAAGAATGATGCCACCAAAATGTAATTAAATTAACCAGTTAGCATTTAGCATGCAGTCGGGAAAATTAAACCTGTTCTGTCCTGATGTCACATGTACTGTTCGTATAGAAAGACATTTAATTCGTTCACTTTTCAGTCTCTGGAAATGACATTGAAATTCATGGAAAAGGGATATAAATTGGCATAAAGCATAACAAATTGTATAACGAGAAAAATGAATCATTTTTGGCGTTAAAGCTAAAATTTGGCACAACTGGGTCTCTCTCGTCCGGCAACTTGCTCGCCAGATGTCGCCAGGGAGGATAACAGTTGTGCCAAGCTTTACCGACAACCTAGTTTGTTTTTCATTAAACAAAACCCAAAATTCTCGAATTCTCGAGAGGCAGAAAATTTTAGAATTGCCTTTTTTGTTTGTTAGCTTTGAGAAAATACCTTTTATTTCCTCGTTTGAGTGGGACAGTACGGTTTTGACTGTCGCTAGTACTGCGGGCGCAGCCGCCGTATGCAAGTTACATAAGATTATGCAAACTGCAAATTTCAAGAAAGAAATGCATGTGACTTCAAACCCGCTTACGAAAACGTCCGGTAGCCTCGCAGTCAAGCTGTGCTCACAAATAGCACGAACGCGTAATGGGGACACCAGGAAAAGGAGGAAATCTAGAATCTAAAATGGCCTTGCTACAGCACTAGAATTAAGGGCCTTAATAGTGTTTACAGAAGCACTATTAAGTGCTTAATTAAGTGAAGTCAATTAAGTGAGGTCAATTCTCTCTCACTCGGGATCGCGATTTTTCGCATTTTTTTGTAGTTTTTTTTTTTCTATTGTTTATTTGTACCTTTTTTAATTTGTTGTAAATTATAATTATTATTTTTTCCTTCTTTCCTTTTTAATATAAACTCTTGCCCCCGCCTCGATTAGTTCCAGAGCTAGTTGCAGGGGCAAGAGATTGTAACTGTATGCAAGAAAACAAAATTTAGTTAAAGTTCAAGTTTAAAGTTCGATTATAGTGCTGTCTTGTTTCTCATCCCCATCTTTTCACGCCGAACAAAACCAAATTGAAAACCTTCTGTGACACTATTAATGTTCCATAATATGACCCTTCGTTCTTTATAATCAGTGGAAAACTGCATAGACAAATACAGCTTCAATCTTCTATCTCTCGTGTATCAGCTGGCTGAATCTAACGTCGCCAATTCCCGTGTCAATTGAGTGTATGGAATTTTTTAATGGCTGCAAGGCAGCTCAATTCTGAATAGTTAGACGCCACTAACTAGCTCACCAGAGAACTCAAACAGAACAGGAAGTTTTCAGTAATTACCTTTCGTGGCTCTTTGTCCGGCCCTGTGTCTGTAGATAAAGATTTAGCTGTTAGAGAGAATTGTTAATGACAATGAGATTGTGGTGGAAAACAGTTAAAGAGAGGAAATTGTGAATATAGTTAAGTCAGTGGAATGTGATGGAGACAGTGGCACTGGAGACATATCATGATTGAGTGTTTTCTTCATAGTACGTGTGCTTGTCTGTTTGTTAGGATTGACAATGGAATTCTGTTCTATCTTCATTGTTTTTCCCAGAGCTACTCGTTTTTCGCTGACTGCGTGACAAAAAAGTTCCACCACCGCGAGTAGTCTCAACCTTCAACGTTTTTGACAGTGCAATGGTTACTTAGCAACGCAGCATGCCATTCAGACAAAGGAGAGTTCTCGAATGAAGGCGTAGCAAATGTGTGATTTTCTGATTTGCTAAAAACATTCGTACATTCCTTTTTACAGTAAACTAATCGAGGATTAAGCTGAAAGTCATTTGGTTGGTCAGTTATATTGTCTTATTCTCAGCCGTTATTTGCTTTGCAGCGCAAGTTTTCCCCTCCGGGAGAATTGACCAACTTAGACGAAGTAAACTAGAAAAGAAAGAATTAAAGTGAGCAGGGCTAGAATCGTTTGAATTAAAAAGATTGACCGAGGTAAGGGAAACAAAGCATACGATGGTTTTATGGCGAGTCTGTGTTCGTTTATTTTGGTAGTTTTGCTTACGTAACTTCACAAAGAACTTGTTTGCTGATGTTAAGACGATATTATTGTGTCGTAAATGTGAAAGGAACACATAATAGCTGGCCAAAAAATAAGTTGTCAAGAGACAAGAGTAAGCTTAAGTTAACTGGAAAGCATTGCTTAAAATAAACAAAAATTCGTCAAGTACTCTCGATCATAACCATTTTTTTCATACGTAAATGGCTGTAAGGAAAGGGTTGGTCGGTGGTTGATTAAAACGTTATTGGTTACTCTCCCCTCAGGAGACAGCAATTGTTCTCTGAACTGAACTATACTTAGTGCTATCATTGTGAATAACCTTACTTTCCGAGGGTATAAAGAGCCCCCTACTCAATACCAGAATGTAAATGAAGTGTCAGAGATTTCTCGGTAGGATTTGGAGTTTGAAGCAAAGCATTCAGATGTGGGATTGGTAAAAAAAAAGAAGAAGCACAGAATGGATTAAGACAAGATTACTCTGTTACATAAGGAGGCTGGACCAGGCTGTGAATTGCCACATCAATTATGTGCTATATGTTTGAGTAACACAACTATCCTCATGTGCGCGTTGTATTCCGTTTTAAGTGCCTTTCTCCTTAGTCTCTCTACGCCTTAATTCTTTCTTCGCGCGAGAGACGTGTGAGACTGGACCCGACTGAAAAATTGCACGCTGGTGACGTAGGTTTACAGAGATTCGTGTTGTCTGATTGGTTGTTGCTTGCGTAAATTTTACATTTTTTTACGTAAATTTTAAATCTAGCTACAACCAATCAGAGGGATTATACGGATCTCTGTAGTTCCCAAAGTCTTTCCCACCAAAACCGGCGCTTAATGAATGTCTGAAAATCCCTAACTCGCCCAGTTTCAAGCCAAAACTTTTAACGCAGTCAACGGAAAGTTAAGCTTTGAACACCGCGTGTGCAATTTTATTAATTGTTGTTATACCTCCCGATTGGAGAACGTGTCGCGTGTCGTGGGTCAAAACTCACCAACTCCCTGGGGAAGAAACAACTTGTACTTTCGACTAGCACGTGGTCAGGTCGTGCACCTAGAAACCGAGGCAAATTTGTTGTGCCGACAGGCGTCAAGCAAATATGTTTTTTCCCCACTTTTTTCTATTTTTCAGTTGGGAGGTATAACAAAACACTTCATGACTCGCCCCACAGGAAACAGAGTTTCGTGGTCTTGGGAAAACAAAACTCACTGTTTCTCTTGGGGGCCAGTGATTAAGTGCTTTTTATCCGCCTGGTTTATCGGCTCGTAATTTGATTTACCACTGCTCCTTTTATGACATTTTCGTATTTGAGTCTTGCACATAACCTTCGAGACCACAAAAACCGGGAGTGGCGTAGAATTTTCGCATTTGAATTTCGGAAAGTGTGCAGAAATTCATTTTACTACAATGCACGCCATATTTGGTCCACTGACCAAGATGGTGTTGAAATCGTGAAGGGTCCATTCATCATCTGTTAATAAATAAGAAAACTTCAACAAGTGCAACACAAGTGCTGTTGTTACAAAGTGCATTTTTACAAGGTGCTTACAGAGAATGCTTTATATAGACCACATACTTTACAAGGTGCATGTGCAGGAGCCTACATACCTCACAAGAATCCTGTTCCTCGGTTGTCGTAATTATATTAAATTACAACTTATATTCCAAATGTAGAATATATCGATAAATATAAATATATAAACCACATATACAGAAAGCCGGTTAAGAAAATACAGGGCGTGTGACACCGGCTACGAAAACCATGTCAAAGTAAGATATGTCCAGTATATACATGCCGTGACGATTTAAATATTAACTTCAGAATGACATCTTATCATGCTATAACGCTGAGAAAATGTAAAAGATAATTTACAAAGAAGGATTCGAGTGAAAAAAATGCGTATTTTTACAGGAGTTAGGTTTCTATTTCTTTTGTAGTGGATTCAAAACTTGACTTGTTTTATACCTTTCAATTTCGGTAAAAGAACTTTCTTCAATTCATTGCTACATTTCGACTCGATTTCGGCCGCAAGCTTCGGTTTGTACGTAGCGTTGTAAGCCTTCTCGATCTCAGCGATGGTGTTCTGCAATCAGAGAGAACTTAAATTAGATAGAGCAAATAAACTTTAATTTAAAATAGACCTTTTCACGGTTTCTGACGCCATCTTGCTTGGTGGGCAAACACGGCAAAAATTACAGTACATTTCTGTCTCATTCTTTTAGTACACTCTTTTTTATAAGAATATTGAGGCTAAAAAAGGCGAAATTTTAAGAGTATGTTTCGAATATACCCAAGGCTGATATTTTGTTAAGACCATTTTTTTGCGTGTTGATGGAAAATAAAACGCAACAAAACCACGATGTGTTTATGTTAACTTTCCTTTTACAACTGAAAAGTATACTTAATTCTCTCTTTTTGATAGGTCAATTGCTGGTTACATCCAATTTATTTAACTGAAATACATGTCCTCTACCATTGTCATTCTAAGGTGGGTACAGTAGAACAATGGAATTTAAAACTTACTACAGTGAAATTGACGATTATGAAAGTATATCATAATTTATATTGAGATGATTTTACAACGTTAAACAACTTTTCATCCTATCTCCAACGGTTACATTCGCATAAAGTAAAGCAATAACAGAAAAAGCTATTTATACGTAATTTAAAAAACAACAACGACAACAGTTGTTTCAGTTACAAAAGTAGATTTTATAAACTTGTAATCACGTAAATCTTTGTATTTTAGGAATACACACGTGTACGTATGTTGAACGAGCTTGTACAGCTCTTGGAGTGACGTGTCTTATTGCTACCAAGAAAACAGATTGAGATGTTTGATATCATGATCAACCTCCGAGTAAACACAATAGATTACTTCACCTCTCCCAGAATGATCCTAACCACAGTAGGTGTAGATTTGTCATGAAGTACAACTTGCAGCTTGTCCGCGAGGAACTGGTTCTGGTCTCTGATGCACTTGACAAGAGTCTGCAATCCTTGCCGCAGATCACCTGACATCTCGGAATCTATGGTGTCCTCGATTTCACACTTAGCCCACTAAAAGGAAATATAAGCCAGCACAATGAAATTCTCGTAAAATGTGTGTTTTTGCGGCGATTGAAATGTATTTCTTTTAGGTGTTTGAGGGACACTGTCACGATATATTTGCTTAAAACTGATATTAATTCGCGAAATGGTCCCTAAATTGATGTAATTAAAACTTAATTAACTCTAACTAAATGATTAAATGCAATGTCTGGAAGAAAGTCTACACCGCAGCAACATTTTTGCACAATTTCAACGATTTTCGAGCCAAACTTGAATCTTTGAAAAACTGACATCCTGACGCTTTTTCAAGTAAATCCATATCGCAATCCGTTTCCATGCTTGCCAACGTTGGCCATCCTCACTTCCTAATGGGTTTTAATCATTTGTCGATCGAGTACTGCTCTACAAAATGAAACCATTGTTGTTCAGCTTCCAATAATCAATATATGCTTTTGAGATTTCCAAAATCATGCTAAAAATGGAGACAGTGTCCCTTTAAATTAGCTTGTATTGTATTATTTCACAGTGGGATATTCCGCCAGACCTTGGTAAACCATTCCTTGTACGTGAATATCACACAGAACAGCGTCTAACAGTTTTATGTATATTCTCTGGCTTGCTAGAGTTTGATCACGTGTTTTACTGCCTCTTCCTCTCTTGTAATCCGTATTCAGCGTAACTCACTTTCTTGTGAATAAACTCGATTATTGCAGGCGGCTCCCTCCACTATTTGTTGTGTTATTTGTCTCGTCTACTTATGACAGAAATGTATTCTATTCAGCTGAGCGAAGCGAATGAGAAAAGAATTTGTATCAAATCGTGTTTTACTGGTTCGCAGCCGGATTTAACCTGACTGTCAGGTTCTGGTTGGTTATGGTTATGGTTATGTCGCAAAACAGCATAGTAGAAGTCTACACACAGGTTGCTGCTGGTTTGGTACCTGCTCAAAACCTCGATCAACCAAATCGTTTTAAAATTAGCCAAAAACCGTTGATGCCATAAAAACAAATAAATAAACAAACACATATGCAAGCAAGTACTGGCAAATATTCACTGTAGGATTTGCATCTACCTTCTTGTATTCGGGAAGCATGGCTCTCAGCTGTGGGAAACTGCGCGACGTAAATATCTCTATGAAGGTTTCTTCGTCTGTGCCCCACTTCTTTATACCAGCCTGCGGAGAGAAATTGACAAGTTCAAAAAACACGTCCAACATTCTTTCGCGTGCACATTGAAAAGAACAGATCTAAGTTAGACACTATTTTAGTTATTATATTACATTAAATTTTATTAGTTAATTGTAGGTCCACATCAGCCTCATTGGCTGCCAATTTTGTAGCCTGCATTACTTAATAGAATGATGATGATGATGATGATGACGACGATGAACTAAGCTGCAGGTTTCACCGTACAAATAGTAAACGACTTCATTTTTTTTCCTCACCTCAAGCAAAGATTCGGCGTCCTTATGAGCTAAATCATCGTTCACCGCTGTGCTCTCGTCTCGCTTGCCCTAAATCAGTGCACGAAAAGAAGTCGACAAACTGAGAAAAGACAACTTTACTCAAAGAAACTCGCTCATTTCTCCCCTTAAATTAATGTTCTTTGCAAAAAAACTGTGATACTAACATTGTATTAAGACAGGTAGGTAAATGAACAGGACTTAACCTAGACAGGGAACACAAACCACAGGAATCACAAACCTTGCAAAGTTCTACCAGTAATGTTTCAAAGTCGCCGCTCGTGTCATCCTTTATAACTTGTTCAAGCTCTTTCCTGTACTCTGAGACAGACAAAATTTCACATTAATGCATTAAATTGGGTTGTAAGAGACTTGGTCTCCGACAAGGTGAAAATAAAAACATTTTACAGACTTGGCTTACTTTTCTTGTAGGCTTGTCTGATGGCTGCGATTTCCTGATAGATTAAAAATAATTAACATTAATTTCAATTTGCAAACTAGTGGCTGGCTTCAATTTCTTTATAATAGCTACACACCCAAGTACTTGTGATCAAGTAGTAGGCAACATGGTTACACTATAATGAAGGTACATGAAGTAGCTACCCGGAAAGTAAAACCATGCTTCTCGTCAGGATCACAGAGGAACTGAATATTCTTCCGGAAGTTCACTTACCGCGTTAGTTCGCGTTGAGAAAATTTCAATCAGTACAATCTCCTTTGTAAACAAACCCTAAAAGGAAAGATCGATTTAAATGAATACAAAACAAGCAAACATATATTGATCTCGCCTCTAAAGCGAAGAAGATCGAATTGCCAGAACTTATTATAAGCTTAGACAAGCTTATGACAAACTTAGACAGTGACTCACCTGCATAGCTTGATCCAAGATCCGAGCGTCGTACATAGCTTTGGATAAAGACAAGGCGGCTAAAGCTTCAATTAGATCTTCTTCTAACTTTTCATCCAAGGATTCAAATAATTCCTGATGGAATAATAATAATAAAAAAAACTGCATCGTTTCGCTTACATCTTGGAACATCTCAACTAAAAACTGGAAATATATATTTCGTTTTGCAAAATAGAGCGGTTTTTACTTGATTGGCAAGTGCAAAAAAGTGCTTTGGTGTTGCATAACCACTACGTTATTGGTTAAAAAAAACTCGCGTCACTTCGCTAGCTAATCAGAAGCTAAACCAAAACCAATCGCGCCTTGTTCGCACACGTTTTCCCGCGCTTTACGTCAGCTACATTTATTCACTTGTAGTTTTGATTGGTTCTGTCCCTTGGTTATCTGTGTCCTTTGTGATTGGCTAGAGTGATTACTTTGGTTCTGGTTTTACGACACTCAATTGAAAACCGCTGCACTAAAATTACAGCGCGAAACGTAAGTTCTGTTCAGTACACTTCACTTGAGCATCCTGCGCTTCGTACACACACTTCACGTTATAACTATAGGAATTGACGAAATTGACTCCAAAGTGATTCACCTTGCTATATCTGGAATTGTAGTCCTCCACTAGTTTCTTGGCGTCTTCTTTCTTCTCAAGATTTCTGCACACAATCTCTTTTATCGTCTTTTTATTATTGGCTTTGCAGGTGAGAAAACAAAAACACTCTTTTCAGTAATCTTGCTGGACAAAGTCGTCCATACAATGAATGACAGACCCATGACAGCACTCACCATCAATAGCGTCTCGCAGCGCTGCATATTCTTGTTTATCATCCAGCTGGCTTTTCTTCTTCTGAGATGGTTTCCTGTTAGCAGTAGGTTTCGCGTCTGCTTTCTTTCCCGCAGCGCCATCTTGTTTTCCACCTGTCGCTGCCTTCTTGTTCTTAGGATCATTGCTTGCCTTTTCCTTGATTGGTGAGTGAAAAAGGACAAAATTAATAAATATCAGTCTAAAACACGACACTCACACGCTTAAGTTCGCATAAGCTTGCTTACTCATTCGTTCAGTCGTTTCTTCATTCGTTCGTTCGTTCGTTTGTTTTTTCTTTCGTTGGTGTTCGTTCGTTCGTTCGTTCGTTCGTTCGTTCGTTTGTTCACGCGTTCGTTCTTTAGTTTGACAGTTCCTTGTTTCTCATTCATTTGCTTGCGTATTCCGGGTATCGTTCTTCTTCTTAATTCATTTCTTTGATTTATTACAACTTATGCAGATGGGACAATACTAACCTTTTCTTTCTGTTCCTGGACCGCTGTAGTTAAACAAAAGAAACAAAAGTTTCGAAAAAGTTACAGAAGGAATTCCAAAACCACGCCCAACACAAAACAGAACGAAACAAAGTGAAACATTCAAAACTACGTTAAGTTATACCTTTTTTCAGTTTGGGAAGAATCAGTTTCTTCATGTTGTCACTGAACTTTGCTTCAGCATCTTTGATGAGGTCTTTGCTGGTAAGCTTTTTGTACGCTCCTGCGATATCTGCTAGCTCGGCCTGGGAAGAAATGAACCTTGTAAATACCTTCTGTATGAATAAATCAAAACGAGAATAATTCATTTCGCGTCCTGCCCTGACGAAGGTCATGCCCGAACAACTATGAGCTATGCGTGGTCTGGCTTTGATGATTTTGGGAACCAGAGAAAATTCGAAATCTGTAACCGTTCCGGTAGTTGGCTTAGAGTAACTATTATTGCAACTTCATACTCTAGATCCTAGTTTTGTAAGGGTATTTTCGTTATGTTTTAACTTACCAGGGTACATTCAGCAAGAGCTTCACGCCGAAGGTACGCCTAGGCTTTTTAAATTCCGCCTGGTGAGCGGCCGTTTAAAAACGCCAACTTGACGCGGGTGGGAAAATTTGCCCTCAAATGGATCGTAAGATGCCCGTTATCGACCAGGATATGGGGGATAAAGAGAGGTTATGAAGCCATAGTTATCACGCCAATTCGCCGTGTGTATTTAAGCTTTTATACGCCAGCACCAGCAAATATAAACGTACGCGCCAAAAACTGCAATCGCACACCAGAACGCCGCAGATATTGAAAGGCTACGCCGAAGATCTTCGGCGTAATCTACTCTGAATGCACCCTGGTTTTAATAATTTTACCGTTGTGCTGGTGAGAATGACGCGTCCAGCCGTGTCAGTATCGCCATCTGTTAAAGTTTTCTGGAGTTTAGCAGCGTAGAAAGTAGCAGGATCTCGAGTGTACTTCACTGTAAAGAGAACACGAAAAATGCAAGAACGGATGAGAAAATGTCTTGTGCGACCGAGTTTCTAAGACACGATGATTATTTAGCACATGGTTTAAACTGAAGGCACACTGTTTTTCTCTCGTGGGAGGCAGGGAGTATGAAGCGAGGCGATGCAGCCTGAAAGGGGTTGGGACACTCGTTAGCTAAAGAACCTACGAGAAAAGACCGGATGCTGGCAGTCTACACATATTTACACGTTTTTACTGTTTAATTCAAGCCAATAAATCAATGGAAACAACAATAAAGTTAAGGCAGTGTACCCAACGCTAAAAATCCTTTCTCCAAGTCTTGGCTCATTTCCTCCTCGATGCATTCGTCCATTTCTTGATTACAAACCTACAAATTATAGACAAAAACAAATAACGGAAAGTTAAGCTACTCTAAAATCAAAGGTAAGGACCTAAAGCCAGCGAGTTTTCAATGTTTTTAATTATGTTATTATTAAGCCTGGCTGGATAAGGAGACGACTTTAAAAAGAGGTAAGCCGCTGAAATCAGGACAACTTAGTCACACTGAAACAAAGACGAAATTTGTCAATAAGTATCAAGGGCAAACTGTTGTGTTCAGAGCATTTTGGTTTACATTTACCTTTTTGTATTCCTGGAACACTACTTTGAGGTGAGCAAAACTTCGCTGAGTAAACACCTGCACAAATTTGTCTTCGTCCGTGCCAAGATAACTAGCCTGAGGTTATAAACATAAGCGAAAAGAGATACAATTAGCTTAGCTTAGCTTCTCACACGCTCTGTTGTTTGAACGACATATTTTTATGGGTCAATATTTCGCACGACACGTGTGAAGTCCATGACAGGTTTCTCCTGCCCCCAGGTATTTTGTTAGATTGTCCTCGCAGTTCGCTCGCATTTACCTGTATACCCCGTGGGGAGAGGTGAAGAGAGGCACTGTGAAAGTTAAGTATCTTGCCTGGGTACAAAACATGACGAAACGCACAGTAGCTAGGTCTAGAGCCCAGACCTCTCCTCAATATAGGCCACCACATTGGCCACCACGCATTGTAAAAGGGTTTACGGGTTTAGATGGAATACCAGGAAGAGAGACAAACTGACAAAGTAATAGGACAGACTACTAATTGAATAAACAGTTGACAGAAATTCAGATACTAGTAGAACTGGGCCAAAGTCAGCTCCCAGATTTAAAGAAGATGAATATTAGTAACAAAAACAGAGATAAACTAGCCAAAGGATAAGAATGGTTGCTCACTTCCTTTTCATGTTTCACTTTGCACCGGGTGACGGTGAAATTATAACATTCCATGAAATACCTGCATGAGAGCTTCTGCATCTTTCTTGGCTAAACCTTTATCAACTTTGCTGGATTCGTCTCGCTGCCCCTAAGTCCATCAGATAACAATTAAAACATTCACAAAGAGAAACAAACAAACGCTATTAAAAAAAAACACTCATCATTTTTATACCATGATTAAGCTTCACCAATAGCCCTTTGCGCGGTTTGCTTTTCTCATTTGCATTATGATACAACCCAACATGTAAGTGAGGCAATTTCGGACTATTTTGTAGTTCTTGGCCGAAATGCCCAAATACCATTTCACTGAATGTGTTGCTACAGAGATGTTTCTATTACAACACATAATGCTGTCTGTAAAATTTTGTCGAATCGCTCCGTTTTGCTACTGTAACATGAAATGGGAAAAGAGGAGATTAAGGTACCCGCTTAACTTACCTTGCTTAATTCGACTAACAAATCTTCAAAGTGGCCACTCGTGTCTCCTTTGAGGTCCTTTTCTAACGACCTGCCATACGCTATAAATTCGAAAAAAAAGAGACGAACAACGAATACTTGTTAAGGTGTTCCACTTAGCGGTATATATAATAATAACTATAACTCGGTAGTTTCACTTACATTCTGTGTATGTCTCTTTAATTTTGGCCAGTTCCTGAGGAGAGAGGTAGCTTTAATTAATTATGTTAAATGATGATCAACTGAGAGTCTGGCTACAGTTAGGCTGATAGCTAAGAATTGGCCAAATTTTTCATTTTCAGCAAAGAACCACCGCTTATGAAAGTCTCAAATTTCCTCAGCGATACATTCGCACTGTTCGAGTCTACAGCAAGTAGCGAAAAAGGTTTGTAACATCAAGCTCTTTTCAGAAGGCTCCTGCCTCTTTTACAACTTATAAAATTTAACTTTTTTGATAAGGTACTTTGTAATTTGAGTAAGAATCGTAGTTTTGGATGATGTATTCTTACGTCTATCTAAAACTTGTGTTATTAGTTTTTTTTTCAAAAATAAAACACCTGTATTAAGAGCCATATGGATTTTCATTGCGAAGGACTTACAGCGTTATCTCTGGAACAAAGAACTTCCATCAACACATCTTCGTCAGTGCCCAGGCCCTACGAATTGATTAAACAGGTTAAGAAAAACTCGAACTAAAAGTCGCCCTTTACAGAAGCAATAGGAGTTTTTTCCAGAGTAAATAGAAGGTATGGATTGGGTTTAACCGAATGCTGAGAACTGGACCCTACCCCATCTCCCATTCGATAGATGACGCGTGTTACCCTTCGACCTCGTTCCCATGAGAACACTTTTTAACTCATAGCTCAAAGTGAGATCTGCAAACTTAAGCGACAGCCGAGATATTAATTTTAACTGACTGCTGATAAACCACCGCAAATTGAACTGATAACTGAGATTACAACGCCCTCACTTCGACCCGACAAATAACCCAACGTGAAACTTGCGGACGCTTAACACCACTGAATAGTTTACGTTACTATTTTACCGAAGAGCCGTGCTGGTTAGCATGGAGTTCGTGCTTTCATACCTTCATAGCGTTATACATAATTTTTGCGTCGTACGAAGAACTCTCCATCAAGAGAGAATCAACCGCGTCCTGCAACTGTTCTTCTTCCAAAACCGGTTTGACGGCCGCTAGTAAGTGCTGCATAAAACACAAGAGATTCTGGATCAGCAAAACAGATGCATTGATAAAAAAATGGAAAGAAGGCAAGGGAAACTTAATCAATTGACACCAATTAATTAATTAATTCTTAATTGATTAATAATTACTAATTATAATTAATACCTGATTGTGTTTCTTCTTATATTTGTCTTTCAGCTGTTGTAATTTGGATTTCTCGTCACAATATTTTGCTAATATGTCCACAACCTTGTCCTTATCACCAGCTAATACAGAAAAAAGAACAAAGAAACCGTTTTACATTATACGACTCCCAAACTACGACTGCTTAAGAATAAAAATACCGAATTTGCCGTCCCTTAGCTAGATCAGACGGCCATCTTGACTACCGCAGAATAGCGAAAAACCATTTGCGTGTCCGAAGACTTTCCCATATAATTGAGAAAATTCAGGGCGGGTGGAGTGAAACTATGGAGTTAAATAGTTCAACTTATGCAAAACAAGATGCAGTTGGTGTGATGCCTAATCGGCTTAAACAACTTAATAAAGAATATGATGAGAAGAGGTTACGAAAGAAGACAGCAACATGAGAGAGCTTTAACTTTGTTTTAAAGAGTGTTTGAAGTTCACGTCTCAAACTCGTTAATAATTCATCGAGTTTATACAAAGGAAATCAAGTCCGTGACGGTTTTTGGTTATCTGATCTTAATTTACTCTAGATTTTCGCGATCATATTTCCCCGTTTTCTCCTTAGTGTTAGTTTCGATTGAGAAGATATATCAAACACTCAAGACCATGCTTCATCACATTTCCAAACACCTCAAAGTTCGTCAAAAATACTCCGCTACGCGTCGTATTTTCAACTCTCTTCTCGGTGTGGGAAATGTGGTCAAACACGCTCTTTCGTGTTTAATATATTACTCACCATCCACAGCTGTTCGTAATTCATCCACGTCTTTCTCCATTGTTGCTTCTTTGTTCTCCTCGCTGTTTTTGTCGGTTTTCTTGTTCTCCTGACTTGCTTTAGGTTTTGCTTTGGACGCGTCTTGTTTGGCTCCAGGCTGTTGATGGCGTTACAACTAAATATAAACTTACATAACGCTATGTAGCTTTTTGTACTGCACTATTAATTCGGTGTCCATGAGTACTTCGTGGATTTTCACACAGTTAAGTTCTTAGTAAGTAATTAAGTCGATCTAAGTCATTTCGACGATTTTAACCCAAATACCAGCCAGTAATTAAATTAGGCGATTGTGCAGCGTAGATATAACGTCTGGAGAACTAAGTAAATTCGTGGAACACGCTTTACCCATTTTGGTACATAGAAATTGCTGATATAGCGTGTTCATGCAGCTAGAGGCCGCACAACCGCGCAAGAAACTTTTTCTTTATTTGTCTCCTCCTATGTGGTAGTTGACGTCTCGACTGTCTGTTACTTCTGACACATTATTTGCCATTTTAAACCTCGCCATGTTGATAAGGTGTAACCTAAGTAGCCGCCGCCTTCTAGGACTGAATTCGCCTGGTCGTAACTTGGTGAGAATCCCGCCACTGGTCCGAAAAAAATACTGACTGAGGACTTGGCTATGGAATTTTAAAATCCGGATGTCTAAGTCCAAGAACGACCAGTCGACGAATTTTTAAAAGTAAATTAAATTCGTCATAATTAAGTACGACGTATAAACAAGGCCTCAGTTACTTAATTACATGGACAGCTTGTTCAATCAAGATGGCTGGATATTAGCCAAGTTGTTCGTTTACGTACACGCAAAAAAGAACTCCGCTAGTATCTAGCTATCTTGGTCAAGAAAGCATATGCACTACAAGGCAAACAGAGCTATCGCAATTGATTGATAACAAGGCTTTACCCTCTGTTGCTGCTTCTTATTTTTCCCTGGGAAAAGAAAGAAAAAAGAACGTAAAAAAAACACCATAACGGCTACTACATTTTTGTTATTGTTACATCAAAACTAACGAAAACGTTTCGCCCTTCCTTTTCTATTTTATTCCATGACATGGCTTTATCTTGCTAAATAAAGTTGCACGATATAACTGGGAAGACAACTCTGATTAGAGTTGTTGAATAAAGACATAAAAACTAAAACATACTAAACTTCGAGTAAAAACCCGAACTTTGCGCAGCTGCTTAATGCCGGTATCGTACTGACGCCTGACTTCTTTTAATTTTGTAATCTAGTTGAGAGTATTTTATTTCTTAGTATAAAAATCAGCTGACCTCTTCCGAGCTTTGCTAGTATCAGCGTCTTTGTATCTCCTTCGCATTTCTTGTCAATCTCATCTGCAAGTTCCACTTTGTTTGCTTTCTTGTAGGCCGCCACAAGTTCACCGACCTGCGCCTGCATAAAATGATTACAGCAGTTCAGTTCTAATTGGAAAGAATGGTGCTCAAATGTGCAAGGTGTCAATTTTTTCAAAGTTCAAGAAGAGCTTTACGTGTTATAGTCAAATTTGAAAAATGAGAATCAGAACGGGGAGTAGGAGAGCATTACATTCGTCGAGACAGTGCTTCTGTGGAATCGACAAGGTCAACAAAAGAGAGGCAGGCCGAGAGACACACTGCGACGGGATCTTGGTAGGACATGACGACGATCGGTTATACCTGGACCCAGCTGGGGAGGCTGGGTCCGGACCGGGAGCGCTGGGGCTGAGATCGTTGGTGGCTGATTCTCCAGGGCCGGGTTATTCGAAACCCTGTTTAAGCTCACCCAGGACTAAAAGTTAACCAAAGTATTAATTTTTCTTGAATTAATGTTTTTCCTTGCTTTTGTTTTGCGTAGTTTGAGATTATCCAAACTCAAAACCAAAAGTAAAAAGTTCACCGAAAAGCAAAATTCTCGCTAATCCTGAGTTAGCTTAATCGGGCTTTGAACAACCCGGCCCAGGAGGAGCACTGGGCATAAAACAGAGAGAAGACAGTCGTCGAGGAATTCTGTGGAGTAAAACAAATTTTAAATTACCTTGTCTTTAGTGAGGATGATTGCTGCTACAGCCTTTGTGTCACCTTCCTTTAATGCTGTCTGAAGTTTGTTCAAGCGGAAGCTTGTTTGATCACGGACACATTTAACTGAAATGCAAAAAGGGAATAACTTTTAATTTTGCTCAACGCTCTAGTAACTAAGCTTAATATGTAATGAACCTAACTTCGCATGAAATAAAATGCTTCTGGTGATTTTAGAATCGAAATTTGTTTCAGCAACTGTTTAAAAAACGCTGGCCCCTTTTACGCAATTGAACGAATTTCTACATGTACATATCATTTTTTTTAATATATAGCAAACTGGTTCACAGCGAAGAGGAGAATTCGGATATTTATTGGTTCCCCGACCAGTTTGAATTTTACAATTTGGATAGCTAAGGCCCAGTTCAAGCGTCGTGCTTCTGTTGCGCCAAACAAAATTCTTAATGTATTTTGGCGAGATTGCGTTCCCATGGGGAGTTAGGAGGAGAATTGTAACGAGGCATCAGTAAATCCCGAATTTGATTTGACTCTGGTACGACGTCTGACTCAGAGTTTTAGTTGTAGAGTTTTACAAGAGCCATTGTAGACGTTATGATAAGAAATGCTCTACTAAATTAGCTTTGCTTGTTTTTGCAACTTTTTATGGACTTTGCCCGCTGCTTGAGCATTAAACATGCAAACAGTAAACATCTGACCGATATTTCCGCAATGCGAATCGAACAAGCTGGTACGATACATTTGTTAAAACATATAACGATCCATAAAATGAACATTTTTGTCCTGTTAATTATGAAGAGATATTTGATTTGCATACCAATTGTCATAAAGGCTTTTTGTAAATCGCCATCCATCTCAGCGTCGATTGAGTCTGCAATGTCTTTGTTGGTCAGCTGTAAATCGATAAAAAGCACATATAAACGACATGCCGTAGTGGATAGTTCATCTGTAAAAACTTTAACATATATCATCACGCTGTTACCTTTTTGTATTCTGGGAATGTTGCACAAAGTTGTGGACGGCTTCGTTGAGTGAAAATACGAATAAACTTTCCTTCGTCAGTTCCCCAGCTGTCCACACCCGCCTACGAAATTACAGATACATCATGAATTTAAATTTAGCGCGTAATATGTTTCTTAGGCCCAGGTCAAACGTCAAATTTCACATGAGACGAACTAAACTGAACGCATTAAGTTCATGCGAGAGATTATCAAGGTAAGTACCTTGATAATCTCTTACTTCATGACAAGTTTGACGTTTGACTGAATTGAGTTTGTCCGACTTGACAGATAAAACGTGTTGGTCGATCTAAATTTGAATTAAGTTCGACGTTTGACCCAACGGTCGAGCTTTACCCGTTTGGATCGACTAAAATTGCAATTCAGTTCGTCTCATGTGAAGTTCGACGTTTGACGTACCTGGGCCTTAACTCTGGTTGAACGAAGGGGACACATAACGAATATTAACTGAAACAACTGGATCTAAAGTTCTTGCAGTCAAGTTTGTTTTCTCACCTCTTGAAGTTCTTTAGCATCTTTCTTGGCCATCTCTTTGTCAACTTTAGTAGACTCATCTCTCTGACCCTAAAATTTGGCAAAGAACAATAATTATCGAGGTTCAGCAACAAGCAATTGTGAAGAGTGTACTGGATAATCAACCGGAGGACACACGACAAGCATCTTGATGAGGCTTAGTTGGCAACTGAGGATTGTTCAAAATTTTAATTGTCAGCTGAAAAATGATATGATTTTCAACTGGTACTTGTGAGCTGAGATCTGCACAATTTACTGGCGGTTGAAAAATGGGCTGAACTTTTCACTCAGAGCTGAGAAATCGCCCAAAATTTGAATGAAAAGTGATCATTCTAAAACTCTTACAATCAGACGCTCTTTGTGGCTTAATCAGAACAGCAAGAAAGTCTGTACTTCGACTTTGCACAGAACACAGCATAGAAAATGCACAACAGAGACACCATCTCTGTAAGCGAATGCATGTTCAAATCCACTGCTAATGGATCTCCATTTTTATGAGCTACATAAACATATTATTCGTACTTTATTTAGCTCCACAAGTATTGTCTCCAAGTCGCCGCTCGTATCTCCCTTCAGGTCGGACTCTAATGTATTGCCATACACTGCAGACAGACAGAGAGAATGAAATTAAACTAATTATATTTTCAACAGAATACGGACGTTTTCAGACGTTGACGAGAAAGATTGGAAACAAGACAATGTGCAAATAGACACCACTCATACTTTTGCTGTAAGCTGTATTGATCTTTTTCAGTTGCTGCGTAAAAAAAAAAAAGAAGATGAAGAAAATTATTTAACTGATATCACTACGAAATCAAATTAAAGATATGATAAATGGGATGTGATTCGTGAGATCAGAGATAACAGATAATTGCACATCAAATAAAAAATAGGCTCTAATTACAAATTTTATGCGTCTCGTATTTATCTAGACATGTCATACGTGCGAGTCGTACAATTTCTCAGACCCATAAAACAGAAGTGACGTTACTCGGCACCAATCTTTCGTTACGCGGTCAACTTCATTGGGCGTGGCCAAAGCGGGAACTTTAAAGCTTTGTATTCGGTTGAGACTTAACGTACCGAGTTGGTTCTTGTACAAAGAACCTCAATCAGCATGTCTTCATCAGTGCCCAGGCCCTGTAGAGAAACAGAAATTATTTAAAAAATCCAAAACGCTCGTCGGACAAAGAACTGTTAGTCATCGTTAGTAACAGCAGACCGCGTGAGGTAGGAGAGAAAGAGGGAGACTAACATGCCGAGAATGCAGAACACTAACTACATTAATTTTAAAATAAACCCACTGGTAAAATCAACAAATAACGAAAACCTGGACTGAATATGAAATTCTCGTGTTTCTTACCTTAGTAGCGTTATAGAGATTTTTAGCATCATGTGCTGCGCTGTCCATCAACAGCGATTCCACGGCCTCTTGTACATCCTCGTCTAGTATTGGCTTAACCGTTTCAAGTAAGTCCTATGAACAAACAAGTTTAAAAGAATAATAAATCGACTGTGGAAAAGTGGGTGAATGGAAGAGCGCGATAGGCAAAAACATAAATTACAATATTTAGAGAGGAAGCCACATCAGCGATACTTGGTTTTCATACGGGCCTTATGTCCAGGTCTTTAGCAAGTACCCGAAAAAAATAATAATAATAAAAATAAAAAAAAAAAACGACAAAATATCAACCCACACGTGAAACCAGGAGGAACTCTAACCCAGGGTACACATTGGTGGGAGGCGATCGCTTTCACTACCACGTCATCCCTTCTCCCAGACCAGTGTCTCCCGAGACGAAGATCGATTCGTGTTTCAATTTTCCTCTCAACATGTAGAATTTTAAGTCCCCAAATGAGGGGAAGTAAACAAATGCTAACAGTGTATTTTCTACTTGGTCGTCTTATTTGGTGTTATATAATGATTAAATGAATGCGCGCGCTCTGATTGGTCAATCAGCTATGGTATATTGTGCCAATAAACTCATGGAAATTTCGCGTGTCTTCTGAATTATTATGAAGAATTCGTAAATCACTCGCCTGCGGCTCGTAATTTACGAATTCTTCTCGTGTTCTTCAAACATCCCGCGTGGTTTATCAGCCTATAAACCATAAAAACTTGTGGTCTATTGCTTAATTAAACTAGCCAAAATTAATATCCAAGATGAACACCGCCAAATATCATACCTGATTATGTTTTTTCTTGTATTTGTCTTGCAGCTTTTGCAGCTTTGTCTTATCAGCGCAGTTCTTTGCCAGTATATCCACAATCTTTTTCTTGTCTTTAGCTGAGAACAAGTTTCAGAACGATATCAGTGGAATTAGATGCTAAAGTAAGTTTGGAATTTTATACGTAGTGAAGTAATCGGCTCTATGTATCCTTTTAATTGAAGAGAGAAAGAGCAGTTTTCGGCTTGGAACGTTTTTACCAAGATCATTACATTAATGGAACCAAACCTGTGCTTTGATTTAAGAAAAGGACTTGCATTTGATAAATGACAAGAAACCATCAGCAACTAATGGTTGAGGATCGATTATATGATGTCAATGACGAAAACTAAAAGGTAGATGGTGCAAATCTAACGTGAAGTCCCTCGGCTTATACATGACGTTTGGGGAAAGCTATAGCTGCAACATGGAATATCTTCGAGAAAACTGTTTTGTGTCACATCTGGGGTCATTGCAGGCTGGGCACCGTACAAATTGACCAGCTGTGAGGATGATTTTGCCTGCCTAATTTGACCATCCAGAGGAAAACTTTTCGTCTAAAGAAGTTCACTTCAAAAAGTTGTCCCTATCTGTGAAAACCAGTTGCCCTTCTGCTGAAAACGTTGATGAAGCCCCCGATCACTTACATAGATAATTATTTTCCCATTAAATGCAGGAAACTTCCCAAGTCTAAAATTACAGTCTTGTGAAATTCCTCCAAATAGTGTTGTTTACTTTCGTTTACCTTCGATCGCTTTATGTAATTCATCCGCGTCCTTCTCCAGTGCGGCTTCGTCTTCTTTGTTTTTCGCGGTATTTTTATCACTTTTCTTGTCCTGGGCTGCTACAGCTTTCGGTTTGGGTTTTTCTTTCGGTGCTTCTTTCTTTGCCTTCTCCTGCTTCTCCGCCGGCTACGAGTCAAATTCAGATTGGTCAGAGACAAATATGGCATTTCTTTGTCCGTAAAAAGAACTATTTAAAATGAAGGTCCTTCGGGATTTTCCCCTGTTTTCTTTCGAATTTGTATGACTTTATTCAAAATTTCCTTGTCTTGGTAAAAAAACTGAAGGAAATTTCCATTATCTTTTCCATAACGCACGACATTTTATTAAACAACAAAAAATTGGTAGAATTATCATCAACGACCATATGGAAAGCGGTTATGCAGCTTACTTCTACTTCGCTCCTCATGATATGGCACTCATATTTCTTACCTTTGCGGGTTGTTTCTTTTTCTCTTTGCCTGGAATTCAAAAACTCATTAATAATTCATAAAGGAAATACAAGAAGAAATGAATGTTTAATGAGTGTCTTTAAATTTGATAAAGACACGGCTAAATTTTGCAGCCGATTTTCTCCAGAAAATAATACCCAAGGACAAACCCAATAAACCCAAGGACAAATGACAAAATGAGTAGATCTACTCAGTAAAGTGTGAGTTAGTTGTGTTGCACCGAAAGTACTGTTTATGTTTAGTTAAGTGTTGTACTGAAAGTCATGTAAATATTTGTGTAAATATACTGCAATAAAAAAAAAGATTTACGACAAACGTTTTTGAAGCTGTTCAAAACACTCGCAGTATGTGTTTTATCGGGTTTAAAACACTCGGCTACGCCTCGTGTTTTTAATCCGATAAAACACTGCTTCTCGTTTTTTTAAACATTACATAAAATGAAAAATGTTCTAGTTATGCTAAAAGAAAACGTCACCATTTATAATGACCATGTATAATGCAGTTTAATTTTGGAATTATATATTCCATTACATACTATAACATTTTCGAAAACTAACGTAAGTAAACAAAAGTACTTTTTTTTCATCTGCGGTTGACTGTGGTCTCTGTTCTATGAAGAAATTGTTTCAAAAGGTAAGAAAAAAATTGTAGGAGTTTACCAGAACTCCAAACACGTCTGGGATTCTGTTCACTGCAAGCAGTTTTTGTTGCTTTCTTGAAGAGTATAGTATAGTGTATCGCTTGATGACACCTACATGATGACCGTACCGCACTTATCTGATTCAGCAAAACTTCCTAAAACATTTGCATGATTACAGCAGTTTACAACTTCCAAAATTATCCTCCTCACCTTTTCCTAGCTTAGCAAGAATAATTGCTTTCAAGTCTCCATTGCATTTCTTCTCAATTTCATCTGCGAGTTCCATCTTGTGAGCTTTTTTGTATGCTGTTGTAAGCTGGTCCAGCTGAGCCTGCAATGCCAGACAGAAGCAGACAGCGGATTACTACGTTGATCTTTAATTCTCCTAAATGTTTAACATTTAGTTTGTGGGAATTCAGTTGTTCGTTAAGTTTAATATGTTAGAAGAACGTCAGTTCGAATATGGTATCATTTAAATAAGTGAAGATTCGCGCTGTCAACTATATAATCCAGTTACTAAGCATTTAAGCAAGGCTTACTTAATTCATATTTAAAACTCACTTTATTCTTGCCAAGAATAATTCTTGCCACAGTTTTAGTGTCACCTTCTTCTAGTGCTTTGTGAAGTTTGTCCGAGTGGAAACCAGTTGGATCACGGACGCATTTTACTATTTAGAAAAATCAAACAATAATAATATTAGTTCAATAATGACAAGTGGAGGGAACATTTTGCCAAAACCCAAACCCTAACTCTAGCTCCCAGGTTTCATCAAAAATTGAAAAAAATATCATTACAGTGGAACGTTACATTACGGTCACGTCGTAAATACGGCCAGTATTCACCTCTGAATAGAGATTTTGACTATTTGTTGGTTTATTGTCAATGTATCTCAGCGTCGATAAAAGTGATAGATATTTTCCTCGCTACTTCCCGACACGGTAGTAAATATCCAACACTATTCACCTCCACTTCAGCCAATAATTGTTAATTAAAGACAAGGTAACACACCAACCGTCGAAATACGTTTGAGACTGGGCACGAAAGATTACAAAGTGATGACGTAGCTCTACAGAGATCCGTGCAGCGTTGCTCAGTTTTAAATTTTCGAGCGCAAATACCAACCAATCAATTACAGAACGCGGATCTCTGTAGATTTACATCACTAGACGTGTCTTGAGAGGGCAGAAAGGCCCATTTACGTAAACTGCAGTTTGAGTTTTGGATCAGATATGACTGCCGCATCTCCTTAGTATGTATACTAACCTAATGTTAAGAACGCTTTCTGTAGATCTCCGTCCATCTCGTTATCAATTGACTCGGCGATATCTTTATTAGTCAACTGCAAAATGTTAGGCAGAAATGCACAGATTAGATGGTCATTAGATTAGTTTTGCTAACTAACTAATAGTGATATAGAAGCTTTTTCACATGACGTCATGGCAGCCATATTGGTGTTCTAAACCAATGAAAAGGCGGCCATGTTGGTGTACCAAACCAATCCCGTGTAAGTTGAACTCCTTTCTTATATAAAAACTTTCTTTTTTCCCGACAAATTTACATGGTTGCTGGTCACGTGAGTGAAATGCTCTGTAAGTTATGATTTGAGCCTTGGGTCGTTATGGTGGTAATCGCGCTGAGTGGTGAATTTTATTTTAAGCTGCGTTGCTTCTACTATACCTCGAGCATTGTTTTCTGAAAGCTGAGCGGTTTTTCAATTGCCTCGCGATATCGAAGTTGACTTTGATGTCCTTAAACAAGGCTGTAACTTGATGTATTACACATCACACTCTAACTCACTTTCTTGTACTCTGGGAATGTTGCACCAAGTTGTGGACGGCTTCTTTGAGTGAAAATACGAATAAACTTTCCTTCGTCAGTTCCCCAACTGGCCACACCCGCCTATAGTCAGACGATTAAGAATGAAGTTATTTGAATGACGATAAATGTATTTACTGTCAAATCTGAATCTCAAATATCCGTGCATTGCGTTTTACTGTTCGTTTTCATCTATGATCAAGTTATGAGATTGGTGGACATTAATCTGCAAGTGAGTGAACGAAAGAACGAAGGAAAGAAGGAACGAAAGTACGAAGGAACGAACGTACGAACGTACGAAGGAACGAAGCAACGAAGCAACGAAGCAACGAAGCGACGAAGCAACGAAGCAACGAAGCAACGAAGCAACGAAGCAACGAAGCAACGAAGCAACGAAG